CATCAGGATCCACGTGTCTGAGGGGTTGCATGTCGATTACCATCATATAGATTAACTAGACTCTCTCTGACTGCCCTTCTGAAAATATCTCGTGCTTGCGTCTCAACAGGCGAATCGAGTTGACGATACTCAAATAGTGACTGGTATCATCTATCTTGCTGTTTTCCGGCAATGCGGGAGAGAAAGAACTTATGAATTCTAACAAGTTAGTCTGTATTTTTTGAACAGTTCAAAACTGTTTTCTCATACATTGCCGCAAAAGTCAAATGGTGTATGTACCTCTGTCTAAAACCCAGTTAGATATAATGAATAATTATGATGATGAATTCGTCTTGTAAACGAGGCGTGGGCTGAAAAGCCATATAATGTGTATTCAAAATGAGAATCGATCTGATCATCTCCCCGGCGATCGAGTGGGTCGTGTGCCTGCGTTCTACCTGTGAGGTCCCGGGTTTGATCTTCAATTGTGTCGATGGGTTCACACTGTTGATGCAACCCAACCACGTGGGAACAACTGTCCAGTGCTTCCTAGCTTTTCAGCTCATACCTCGCTTACACGATAAATTCATCATACAAACAAATAAAATCCTCCATTCCTCTCATACGATAATTACTGCATAAATCGAGCAGTAAATTCGGTTCCTTTCATTTTTCTACTACCTATGTGTTGAATGCGTAATTATACAAGCAATTTTCCCGAAGAGGGATGTCGCCAATGGAAACACTTCACTTCCAGTCCAGTTTTTCCAACCACTAACCATGCACTTCCGTGCGCCGGTTTTAGTTACTGTCTCTTGGCCGCCCATTTAGATAAAAGAGTACGATGAAAATTGGAATGTTGAGAGCAGATTCAAGTGTAAGTTAGAGAATTCATACCGACAGAAGTTGCAAGAATAATGGGTGGACGCATGAACGCCATTTTTGACAACGCCCAGCCGCATCGTTCAGTGTCTCTAGCCATGTGTGACCATGATCTCGAGGAGCGTAACGTGATCCAGCCTCCTGGTTAGGGTTTTCATACCCATCATCATCATCATCATCATCAGCGTACAGCGAACTTCACGTATTGCTGCCAAACTCGCAATGCATTGGGGTTTGATGAACGGGTACTGCTGGGGTGTCCAGTCACTAAGGAGGAAAATGATTAGGGTTCTCAACCAAAGCCTTTCGTTTTTAACAAGAACCTAACCGCAAGACAGCGGGTGAAGCGAAGTGGAGGTCTATTTACCTGAATCAATTACTCCTCCACAATTTTTTACAGACTGAAACACAAATTCTAATCGAGCCTCGGACCTGGGGGACCGGGAGACTGAACTTCGTCTGACCTCTACCCATGGACCTTTCAGGCATGATTAGCTCTTCGGCTTGTGTTGCAACGCCCCGACCAGCGATATGCGTAGACCCGTGAACTGAAGGAACCGTGCGACCCAGCGATGGAGTAGCGATCCCGAGGTGCCCGACTACGGTACCCGAAAGTGACACGGCTAAACAACGGTAACGATAGTAGCGACACGCGGACCCGTACTATCCCCGGAACCCGACTAGGAAGAAAGAGGAAGGCAGGNCAGGCCTTCAGGCGAGGTTGTATATTTGGCTCGACCCGAAAAGGCGATGAGGCTGGACAGCTCAACCGTTTATATACAAATTGGGGACCGGCCATCCGTGACCCTGTAAATTAGCTCGAAAGTGATGAGTCAGAGAAAAATGGACTAATCAGGGACAGGATGGCCGGTGGTGCGGAATGAGTCTTTCTTGGCGCGAAAATTCGGAAATTTAAATTTCATAAAAAATAATTAAAAAAATAGGGGGAAAAGGCAATTTGAGTGTGGAAAATAGAGTCTATACATCAGCTTGACAAAAGCCATCCTGTGTAGCTCGTTGGGTCAGAGAGGTGCACAAGCCATCACATCACGTCAACGTGCAGTCTCGTTGTGATGGTCATGCCAGGTCTTAGTTTTACCGCCCTTGACCTTTTTCCAACCGCTACCTGCCTCGGCGAATATCGCTCGCCGTAGCAACCTATCTGGTGACATGCGTAACACATTCCCCGACCAGCGTAATCTATAGAAGTTGACCACCTGCTACAGTGAACGACCGCGATTACCTAGAGCTCTACGCCTAACCGCATCACTCGTTCGTCCAATGCGACGTAGACAGCGGTGTTCGAACACCGACAATCTATTTTTATCCGGTTCACGTGGTGGCCAAGTCTCTGCACCGTCTAGCAGAACTGGCCGAACTACTGCAGCATACACTCGACCTTTCACAGACAGCCGGATGTTGCGATATCGCCACAGACATCTCAATTTGGCAAATGCCAATCGAGCCTTCTGTATGCACGCGAAGACTTCATCTGTGACGCGTCCGCCAGATGATATATAGCTGCCCAAATAAAAAAATTTGTGCCATATGCTACAAAGAAAAGACGATAGTGGTGGGGTTCGAACATACGACCTCCGAAGCTGTGATGGTGATTAACCGCCGTATTTCGGTTACTGTCCGAGAATACGTGATGCTAGATGCTCTGATAACAAGTCAAGTCAACTCTGTTTTGTCTCAGGCCTCTTTTGACCTCAAATGTTGGTTCTCGATGATTGATGAGATTCGCTTTTTGTTTCCGATTCCTTTCACAATGAATGGCTTCCTCCTTGTTCTCCATTTCAGTTACTTCCCACTCCTTCACACAATTCTTCAAGCGTACAAAACACCGGTCTCGGTCCAGGTGAGACGTGGGCCCGTATCTCCATTGTGCAAGGTGCATCTTATTCGCTAAACCTGCTCCAAGAGTTGATTAACGCTACACTTGGCACACAACTTCGTTTCTACAATGTATGTGTTGAAGTTCAAAATGTGGTCATGTATGCGAAAATCCGCCAGAAACAAGTAAGTCCAATTTCTCAAACTTCTTCCTGTTCGACGTACAATTTTTCGATCTACAAGAAACCATAGCATTTTCTATTGATGAGAATTCCATGGGTACCTATACCCTGTTTTATCAACATTGCCACGGTTACGTAGACACGATCATATATATATATATATATATATACATATATATATATATATATATATATATATATATCACACGGCTGAGGCCCAACTGTGTCAAACAAATCACGGTACAATGATCTTTATAAAAAGATAGAAGTTCCATGATCTGCATGTAGGCGGAATACTTCCAGGTTACCCAGACCAAAGCACGTGAATTTTCTTTCATAACCGTAGCCTTTGACTAACCAAAGTCTAGTCCGCAGGGCAGCGGGGCGGTATGTGATTACCGCATTCAATTGGGGGCCAATTTCCAGTTTATCGAACTACACGCCCTCTGGAAAAGGCCAAACTTCCAAGGTGCCTAATACACTTCGATACCCAATCTGGTCGGTGACCACTGCAACATCCATATAATCATGCTCTGGTGCTAGCCATATTTAATTATAACACCATATTCTACATGTCCTGTTTCAGATCGCGTGTTACACTAACCATACAAGAATCTTTTAAGCGTACAAATCAATCTGTGGGTTTCTGATCGGTGCGATGTCGTTAAATTGCCTGAGCCATATCAGGTGATTTTCTGAGGAATTTACCACCAGAACCTTTGATTATTCAAAAATTAGATCAATAAACTGTCTTAATTTAGCTTTGCCCTATCTAAATGCTCCCTGTTGGTTCTAATCATTGTCTGACATGAAGTTTTTCACGCTTTCCAGTCCCACTGATGAGAATTATACTCTTTTCACAGGAAATTCAATTTCGAAAACTGTTGCAATCTTTGCGCGATCCGATCACGGGTAAAGATCAGCTAGTAACTGACTTGACCACCGTCCCGGAACCCCGTGTACCAAGTTGCCCATCCAATTCCACAGTCCTAAATATCGGCTCTCTGTTTCCTGATTCGTGGATGGAGGCGCTACGTGCTTGCTTCCGGGAACGATTTCAACCAACCACACGCAGTCTGGACTTGTCCAGTTTACATACGGAACCCACCTTGCTCAGTCAGGGTCTTTACTTGCCTTTGAACCGGACGTCCATTGTACACGCTATGATCAGTATCCTCAAAAATAACGGGGCACAGGTGGGTCCCCATTTCAGTTGTGCTTTAAGTCTCACTGGTGTTCTCTCTCGTGCATTACTGGACATTCTGTCAGTTTTCACTTGCCTCTGTCTAATTTTATTTATTCTCGAGATGCTCTGGTCTGTTTGCAGAACTTTGTGCTACCTGTGGTGTCCGAAAATCGAGACAAAAAGTGCGAGCAGCAGCAACAGTACTTGAGAATGTGATCAGCTTCCGCTTGGCAAGCTTCCTAAAAAATGCCACGAGAATATGACGACGGTCCTGTGGCAAATGTATTCCGTCATTAATTAGGCCATCGCCCATGTCCCATTCTATCTACTTTACAGGGGCTTCTTGATCAGGTGAATGAACCAAACTACTGGTCACCGGTTTGTCTGAAACAACCCTACTGCCTCGAAGGTAAAGTAGAATGTGCAAAGGTTAGAGGTGCATCCTTCGATAAAAAAGTCAAAAATCTCGGTAGAGTCCAGTAATCCCCTTGCTGAAAGTATTCTTGTAAGAGAAAGAGGTTTGAACGAAAACATAGAAAGGCGCAGTAGGAGGGGGGGGATACAGAACACGTTAAGTCAAACATATTTCAAACAAGACGACAGAGTGGCGAACAAGCTCGTTTTCAGAGATTCGTATTCAAGCCAATACATCTCAATATATATCACTACTTGGGAGTAAAATTGTCATGGGAAAATAAAATAAAATAAAATAAAAACAGATTACTAAAACCGATTTCATCGTGAAGCCGGAAATCGGGTTCACCATGATCATATGCTTGTTTGTCCACTCATCCCACCATCGAGATTACTCACGGGGGTGGGGGGTGGGATGGGCCAGGGAAGCTTTAGCGCTTGCACAAATTGTTTTTGGGCACACAAATGGGGGTTGTGCAGACGAATGCCCAACGCTTCTGCCGTAGCCAATATCCGACAGCGAACTTGCTTCGATAATCGCCCACGAACTTAGTACAGGGGTCGGAAAGCCTCGCACACGTTCACGGTATGACTTGTGTCAGCTAGGTGTGAAACTACTGCACTGGTGAGTGACTGAATCGTTTCGGTGTTCAGCTACGCCGGGTGGTGTTCACGAATCCGTTCGGACAATCGCCTGACCGTGCGGCCTATGTACGTTGTTCCACAGGAACAAGTAAATGAGTATACACAGAATGAGACCGTAGAGTCTGAAACTTTGTCCCTCAGTCGCAAACACAATTGGTCTGGACGTGAACAACACACGAAGCTTAGATGCATAGATA